TTGGGGATAAGGCATCTCCTAAAAAAATCTGTTCTTCTCTGTCTGGTTGCCAAATGTTTCCTCCCACATAAGCAATTGAAAAGTCTCCTTTGAGCCACTTCTCATGAATAGCAAAACTGCAGCAAGAATGTATGGTCTGAAAGCCCATCCTAAGTATTTAAACAATCCATTCTCAGACTCAAGGGGAATGGCTGCTGACCTTCTCTCACAGGACAGCTCTGGCTGAGTGTGAGGCTGTTGGTAAGACAGGCAGCACTTGGAAGATGAATTTTGGTCTCATCTCTTGCTGCAAACACACCACAGCTGAGCCCTCAGACCCACCTGTGGGGCTGGCCTGATGTGGTCAGTCACAGGGTGTTCCCAACAATCCAGAGTGTTTCTTCAGGTCCCTAGGAGAATTTCATATACAGGAAAATACTCATATAATTCATACTGGTGCCAAAAGGTGCCTGAGGGGCAGTGCTACCCTTGTTCAGTGATCTGAGACAAGGAGATATTTAAAATTACCAGGACAAACTCTCCAGGCAGATGGGGCAAGGTCAGAGGAGTGGCCACATGGGAAATCCTGCTCTTCTATGGTCTCTAGCTTAATTCAGCCAGACATCACAGGGTTAAAATAATTGGAGAGATGCAGGGGGACAACTTTATCAAGCAAGGGGCTATGCTGGAAACTTGCTATAATCACTGAAAATCAAAAAGGAGAAAACAGGATAGGAATAAATGTAATATGGGCCCAGGAGTAGCAAAGAAGTTATTGAAGGACAATGTCTCATGCACCCTGGAGCAAAAAGGTAATTAAGGACAAGGACATATCATCCTAATGGTGGCATCTAATTTAGCAGAAAGGCTCAGAACAGGGTTATCCCTTCACTCATTCCACTGGGGACCAGCTTGGGGGGAGAAGCCCCATTGGTGTGGGACATGGCTCTGGAGCTTGGGACTAGGGCTTCACAGACAGGTGGAAACTTTTGGAGGTGGCCACAAAAAGGGTTATGAAATTTGCCCAGCTGGTGTTTCTCTGCACTCCTGGGACAAGAGCATCCTCCCCAAGGAGGAGCTGTGCAGTGCCATGCTGGTACAGCAGAGGCTGAGCATGAACATGTGAGGATAGCAGGCACTGGTGGCACTCCTGCCGCTGGGAAAATAGTATATATGGAAATAATGTCTCTCAAAAACTTACCTGCTCTGCTGTTCAAAATTTAGACTGGCATGTAATGGATGTTTTACTTTGCCTTTCAAAATTTAAGTAAAAAGTAAGTTTAAACTGCTATTGTCATCTGATGCACAGGATTTTTATGCATTAAAGGCTCTGTTAATGCAACATTTATATAGCTGGAGAAGTCCTAATTTATCCCTATTGATTTTAACTTGGACTTACTTTTACACTCCGGGCAAGCTTCTTCAAAAATCAATATTTTTACCTTTTGACAAATCTGCTGCAAATGCATGGTTTTCCTATCCATCCTTAACTTTTGAGTAGCAATAAAATATACTGGGGAAAAAGAAATGGAAATCTAGTCAGCATAAAAGCTTCCCTACCTTCCCCAACATTGCTCACAGTAAGCCTCATTAAGCATATGTGGTATGTGCTCTCTGCTAAGTGATCAGGGCTTGAATTTAAGGTCTCACTCAAAATTATGGCATTGTGGGATATCTTATTTCTCAAAATGGGTAATTTAACAACACTAGGGAGAAACTTTCCAAGTGTATTAAACTTTAAAAGCATATTAGAATGACCACAGCATCCTCATTTTGCAGGCAGAGGTGGACAAGGTCTGTCAAGGTGACAGGAAGGCTGTAGAACAGAATAAGGAATTTTCTCCAAGGATGTGCAGCTTCAGCTTTGGCATTGTTTGGTGGAGCACATCTGGTTTTTTGGGAACAACCCTCCTCCCAGTGGAAGTCCCTAAAACTTACACAGCTTGTGCCATTGCACAGGGGCCTGGCTGCACCCAGTCCCTGAAATCTCTGCTCCATTGCTCCACTGAGAGCTGGGGGATTTTGCTATTGACTTCAACATCCACAAAGACAGCTCCAAAATATTTTTAATGCTATTTTTTAAAGGGTTGCTTCCAGTAATGCTTGCCTTATGCAACATTAACTTCTGTGACCAGCACTTAGCAGGTCATCTTGGGTCCCACTGACATGTGCAGGATTAAGCAGGGTCCTAATTTTAATAATGAGAAGCTGTCAGAAAAAGAATTTCTGCTGCTGTTTATTCACAAATGTAAATTCCTTTAACAGTCATTGTGGACTCTGAAGGACACCTGTTGTTGTTTAATTTTTTCCAGCAAATGCATTTATTATGATTATGTCACTTTCAGAGACAGGAGCACCTTGTTTCCTTTTACAGGGAGATTAGGAGGAAGGATGATGGGCACCTCAAAACAAGTTTAATCTGTTTAGAAGGCAAATATCTGAAAGTGTTGCAGACTTTTGTTCTTGGGTAGAATTAATTGGACATTTTAGGGAGAAGCAGAGAACAGGAGCTGTTGCAGCTCTCACTGATTTCAGCTGGAAAATGGCCTTTAGCTTACAGCATTTGATGGGAGCCCATTCCTGCATTCCACCAGGGTGAGACCAAGGCTGAGGAAAGCTTCTCTGTGGTCCCTACAGGTGCTTTTGGTTGTACCAAGGACATCTCTAGACCTGAGTGATGAATGAAAAATCCTGTCTTGTTGTTCATTGTCATTTCTCCTAATCAGCAGTAGCCTCTGGGAGCTGGATATCAACTGCCTCTCAGATTTAGGTGATAGAGACCCACTGTCTGATAGATTAGCTTCTTGATAATTATTGATATTGGCTGTATATGAATAAAAACAAGATAGTGATTGGACTGCCTTAGTGTGAGGTATTTATATCTTACTGTTTCTATCTAATCTCATTGCTATTTTGTAGGATGTTCTGGACCCTCTCAAAAGTTGTGCACAGCCCTGCAGTTTCCCATTAAGCTGTTAAATGCTGTACCACTGAGACTATGTATACATCAGACAAAAAACCCCAAAATGCCTGAGGTATGAGCACCTCAGTGCTGAGCTCTGACATCAGGAGTTCAGACCTGGCAGTTGCAGAAGGCAGAGCCTCACTTTTGGGTTTATTTCCCACTCCAAGGACAGGATGCCATTCACACTCACACTCTTGCCCTTTTTGTTTTTAGATGCAAGCCTGAATCAAGCCAAAGAGACCTTGTTTTGCTGAAATGTTAAGCTACTTTTTTTTTTTTAATGTTTTAAATAAAAGGACTCAGCTTGGTAATTCCAACCATTTAATTGGAAAATACTCTGTACTGTTCTTGCTGACCCCTCTGAACAAGGCAACATTATCACCAGCAAGCAGAAAAGTCTCTGGCAGAAAGCACACAGAGTATCTTTAATACAGGACAAATAAGGGGTGGGACTGAACTTTGGGGTGCTCTTGCAGCCATTCCCTCTCTTCCTCTGAGAGTGCATGCCCTCTGCCTGCTTCCAGGGAAACACCAAATGGCATTGTCAGCTGCTCTGAGTGCACAGAGCTGAGATCAGGGCATCTGACAGCATCAGGTGTTTGCTCTGCATTCAGGAATATCCTCCCCTGCAGAGGTTCCTGTCTGTGCTGCTGTGTGTTGGGTCAGAACATCCAAAAAATGCACAGAAGTGGAATACCTGGGGTGGAATCCAGACTGGGAAGCACTTGGCACAGGCTGAATCACAACAGAGTTACAAAAAGCTCTTTTCAGCAATGCTGGACAGTAAAGCCAGAAAGATACAATCAGTGTGATCTAAAATCCACCAGTTCCTGCTCACTGGTTGGAAACTGCTGTGTGCTTTCTTTGGGTTTGCTAACTCCTTCCCCAGGACCAAAAGCTGTTTTCCTCTCCATTTGGGTAGAAAGACTGCAGCCAGCTGGGGAGGGGGAGCAGGGCTGGGGCTTTCCTGGTGTCCCCTGGACATGTGGGCACCCTTGTCCCCAGCTCTCACTGCCCCTACAGTGCTCCAGCCACAGCAAGGCCACATCAGCTGACATCCTCAATGTGAGCATCACCATTGCTTTAAAAAACAGTGCAGCAATGAAACACACACAATCCCACAGAAAATATCCTTCCTTTTTTGTTAAAATACTGGTTATTGCTCTTAGGTTAATATCTGTCGTGAAAATGGTTTTAATTCCAGAATGTAGAAATCACCTTGGAGGCTGTTAGCTTTGCTTTTTGTTATGAATTTCATGTTAGTACTATAGGCCCTTGATTTTTTTTATCCCCACTGGAGTAAGAGGCATCACTTTAAATAGGAAACACAGAGTCATTTTCTATGCATAGGGGAAGCTCTTTGTTCTCAGAGAAAAATGAATTATGCAGTCAAAACAGGTGACACATAGTAGATGTTGTTGCTTTCCATAACCTGAGATGTAACCCAGCTGTGCCCTTTGCTTTTGCAGATGTCAGCCCTACCATCTGCTGCTGAAAAAAAATACATGCATTGCTGTGGCAACACTGAGCAGCTCTGTGGTCTTTTCTGCACTCTGCTCAGGCTGTGCATTTTTAAATAGTGTGACCTTTATTGATTCCTACAGAAATGAACTGTGCAAGATGGAAAACTCAAAAAGTGTACTGCCAGAGTTCCCTTGCAGGACAAAGAATACAATTATATTACAGAAATGTTAAAACTAGGAGAGATGAAATCAGTTAATTTCCTCTGAAAATGTTTGAAAGAGCTTCAGAAAAATATAATGGGTGACAAAGGGAGCAGAGATCTGATCGGAGAGACAGTGGGATGGGAAAAATACTTGCTCCATTGAAATCAGAGATAGTTTTGGCATTGCCTTCAATGGAATGAGGATTTCATCAGCTATAATGTTTAACACACCACAGCTTTATAGTGCTTTTCCTAAGGAGGATGCTGTGTCCTGAACTCCTGTTTGCTGTAGGCAACAGCTGGCTCTAGGTAGGTGCTGGGAGGGGTGGAAACGTGCAGGGGGAAACCTGCACAGCAGAGCAAGCCTTGCTGCTTGGAATTCCTCCCATTTCTGCAGCCAGGTCAGCTGTTTTCTTCTTCATCTCATCTCTCTAAACCTACAGAGGAATTTTCTTTCCATACATAAAAATCCTCCCCTCTATTTTCTCCAAGGATCTCTAGGACAGCTCCCCTCAGCTGACAGTCCTGAGGAGTAGATTCCAGACCTCACAAGTCAGCTTTGCTTCCCCTCTTCACTGTCCCCGTGCACTTTTAGCAGCAGGAAGAAAACACAAGCCCTTCTGAGCCTCCATCCTTGTGCATTCCTGCTCCTTGCCCCAGCTGGACAGCATTAGGTCTCCAGTTGCAGACTTCATTGCCAGGCTCCAGCCCAAAGTCAGACACTCAAGCAATAACTTTGTACTGTAAAGATTTAGCAGTGGTTGTGTTTCCTTTTCTTCAGTTGACCAAATTTGAGATGGCTCTAGGAGGAAAATAAGGGTTGTGTTTTAGTGGATAACCAAACAGCTACACTGTGCTGGAGAGCATGGCAGGCAGTTCCAGCTCTGCAGCCTTGCTACCTCCAGCATGAAGTACCAAAAAACTATTGTAAGTACTCAAATGAAATCACTCAAACATACCTGGAATATAGAACTGTTCTTCCTGGGATTCAGATTTTTAATGTCTGCATTGTTCTGTGACGGATGGCACCAAACTGTTTCTGCTCTCACATAGCTTTAGGTGCAAACCCCATTTGAGTGAGTACCCACAAGCATTGTCTCACAAACCAAACAAAAACTGGATGAAAGACAAATTTTAGTATTACCACGCTGCTTTGTGTCACTGCAAAACAGCACTTTTTCTTCAAACAGCCACAAATACCATCAAGTGGTCCAGACCCTCTGAAGAAATACAAAAAAGGGAAGATTCAAGTAAAAATAGGAAAACAGGAACTTGTGCCACGAGATGGCCAGTCAGGCTGGTCTGATGGGGGCTGTCTAGTGGAGGGGGTGGCTGCTGTGTCATTCCTCAGCACTGCCTGCAGCCTGCATGTTCCTGATTGCCGACAAGGAGCAGGGACAATTTCCCACAGCTGTTTGGGTGAAGGCTGTTTGTGGGAGGTAACAACGCTTAAATTTATGAGGCATATTCCTAAGACTGTTTCTGGGAGATGATTTACCATAATAATAATAGCTGAAACTGCAGACTCCTCCAGAAAAGAACATTTGATGTCTAACAGACAGCTGCTGATGTAAATGTTTATGAAGAGTTTGTTAAGTATGTGACATTGCCTATATGGTAATGCAGAAATTATGCTGCTTGTAAAAGATAAGTTATGATAGAAAAATCAGTGGATAAAGAATGGATGAGAATGGTGCTGAAGCAGGACCACTGCTATGACAAATGTCATGTCAAGCAAGAGCAGCATGAAGAAAATCTATTAGCTACGTGCATTCACTGTTAGTGGCATATCTTGAATTTGTCATTTTAAGATGCTATTAAAATTAATGCTGTCCTAAGAGGTACTCCTGGAACTATGTATAAAATTGCCTAATTAGTTTAGAAGAAAGAATTCCAGTGAGATGCTAGATTTTGGGAGAGATACAGTGAGCAGATAAGTATGCCACCAGACACTCATGAAATGGACTCTCCTTGGAGAGGAATGCTTTGCCTCTCATTTCCAAGAACAGCCTTGCAGCAGAATTGAAGTGGGAACTGAAGATCACAACTGCAAATCTATCAATTCTGAAAGGTATTCTTTTACTTATTAAAAGGGCATTTTACTGAATGGATTCATACTGCGAATCAGTAGGTTTAATTAAGTGAAATAAATTGCCCTCATATTGAAACCCTCTTTCCTTTACAGATGCAGACCCTGAAATCACTGGTCACTAGTTCCCATGGCTATGATTTAATCTGACAGTGAAACAAAGGGAAACCCTGATATTCACCTCTGGCAAAACAGATGCAAATGTTTTTCAGATCTCTTTCTCTTCTTCCTTTCCATTCCACTGGAGGACCCAGAAACAGATGTAATGACCTGGCTGTGGAATCCGTAAAATAATCAGAATAGCTAAACCTTTGGCCCTACTATGGGAGAGACCAGCCCCTTTCAAAGGCGTAATGGTGTCAGAAATAAAGAAAGAGCAGAGCAGGTGCATGAGCTGGCTGCAGGGAAGAGCTAGAAATGCCAGCAGACAAAGGCAGAGAGAAGTGTGGGAGCAAAGGGGAACCTCCCCAGCACCCAGCTGTGCTAACCTGGCCCTTTTCAGGTGGGGTTGTTCCCTGAATCACACTGGTCAGGGGTGCTGAGTGTGGTTAGAGGTGGGGAGGGACCCAGCTGAGCATTCCTCCAGCCTAGACTGACCCTTTGGTGTCCCTGCCCCTGCATTTATCCTCCCAGCATCCGTGGGTGTTCAAACAGGCAGTGAGCAGGGTGGTAGGTGTAGGAGCACTCCTCTCTGCTGTGGAAGTCAATAGCTGAAATCACAGCCTGGTGTTGATTTTCTGTTCTATTGACAATGAATTTGGGGATCCCCTGGGATTAGTATGGGATCCATGCTGACACAGAGCTGTGGGGAGGGCTCCCCATCCCACTCACACATTTCTGTTACAATAATGTACTAATATTCAATATGTGTGTCTCATCTTACTTAAAACAAGAGGGGGAGAGTTGTAGGAGGAGAGATGGGATTGGCCTGCTAATCCTAATAAAACAAAGTCCATTTAAATGAGAAATTTTATAAACTACTGAGCACTCGTGCTGAATAAGAAGTGAAGCCTACTGCTATTAGATGTGGCAATAACAGGCTGCTTTGATTAGTAAAGCCACCAGGAGGGAATACCTAGAAACAGATGCTGCCAGTGAACCACACTGACTTTGAGCAGGAGATCCTCTCAACATGTAAGTGCAGCCTTCTCCCTGGGAGTATAGGGACAGGAGCCCCACATGGGCAGCTACAACAAATATTAGGAACCACTTGAGAACCAATTTTAATAGTTAAAATTTAATTTTGGTGATTTATATATTATTATTGCTTATGGGAGATAACATTTACAAAGCTGCCACAATGCTCAGAATTTGCTTAGATAGTGGTTTTGAAGGCATGTGCTGCTAATCAATGAGTTAATGATTTCTTCCATGCTGTAATCCATCATTTTATCACAGCACACAATTTAGCAATTTGCTTGTGCTAATTACTACAACAGCCAGAGCAGTTCTGAGCACAGCTCCAGGCTGTGGCTAGAGAAATGTTTGCCATGTTATTTACATTGCCCCCACTTACTTTGGGAAAGGCCCAAAATCCAAAATACATAAGGAGAATTTCCTAAGATATCAGAAATACTCATCTTGCAATCAGTGAGTTCCCCTCCATGATCCCTGGCAAGGAGGCTGAAGGAAAGCTGCTCTCATCTCCTGCTGTCACAGAATGCCCAGGTGTGAACAGGAGACAGGAACTGGGGGCAGAGGAGGTTTCTGTTTGTGCCAGTAAATGTGTTCAGGGGTCAGGCTCAGTCACTAGGGCCAGGCAGCCTCAGGGACAGCACACAGAGCACCAGGTGGGATCCCATTTAGGCTTTATATTCTGTCTTGGGAGGTGTTAGGCTGCTTTGCCCCTGCTGAGGGCCAGGGTGTCCTGCTCGTCCCCACGGGGCTGTTCACTGGGGGAGCTCTCTCCTGCCTGTGCTGTAAGGATTTACCCATCTCTTGGGCACAGGAGGAGGATTCACCTTCTCCTGCACACCAGTGCAGTCAGCTTGGCTGCTGCAAGGGAGAAGGAGCCTCCAGGGTGTCCTGGTGTGGGATTTTAATCACAAGGGTGGATGGTCTGGGGTGTCTGAGGAGCTGCCAGGCACTCATCCCTCTCCCATCCTGGGAGAGCCCAGCAAGCCCCCACATCACCAGAGGAAGAGCTGGGTGTTCTGGATGGAGCTCTGGATCCTGGGAGTGCCCAGAGCCAGTCCAGACAGTCAGCACTGGCTGGGTGTTTGAGAGGACAGCTGTGGCTTGGAGGGAGCCATGCCTCCTGCCATGCCCTGGCCTTGCTGGGAACCTGAAGGCAATGTTGAAATTGCACACTGTCACAGGACAATAGTTTTTAACCTTTGTCATAATTGCTCTCTTTAAAGTAGAACAGAAGACTTTCCTGACAAGGCCATTACTGTTGAAAGGACAAAGGGAAAGTAGTTATTCAGCTGTGTTCAGAAACTGGGTTATCAAATTAGCTTCAGCCACTTTCAATTACAGAATCTTATGGTTTTGAAATGAGCTCTAAATGAGGGGCTATAATTCTTTGTCGACAGTGAGCAAAAAGAACATAATCATCATTATTTAACAGGGGCCTACAGCCCAGCTAGCTCCCAGATAAGTTCATGCAAGAGAAAAAAGGATTCAACTGGTATAGGCAAGCAAAAGATTATCAGCTGGCCAGGCTTCAGTGCATTTCTCCATCCTGCAGCTAAGGAAGTGACCTTGGGATTCATCCAGGAGGGATTTACTCCCAGAGCCATTCTGAATCACTAGTTAATTAAACATAAATACATAAGAAAAATTAGAGCAGTAGGGGCTGTCCCAGGCATGCATTATTCCACCTTTAGCTGGGCTTTGTTCTGCCAGGGCTTCCTCTCTGCCTGGAGACTGTTGTTGTTAAATGGCATTGTTAAATCCTACCTGTCTGGTGGCTGCTGCTTTACAGTAACAAGGAGAGAGAGGAGCTGGGCTCATGCCAGGAGAAAGAAGGTTCATTTGTGAGCTCAGGCAGCCTCAGGAGCCAGCCATGTCTGGCCTACTTCACCTCATTGTCCTGGCACCCCAGACAGGGAGCAGCAGGGGCTGGGTGCCAGACACAAGCTTGGGACCCCAGGGCCACCAGCAGCAGGTGCCAAGCCTCAGGTGTGCCAGGGCACTCCACAGGGTCTGTGGGGAGCTGGTGACATCCATCACCATCCTCACTGTCCCCTGGGGGAGCCTACTCCCAGGCTCAAGAGCATGGCTGTCCCTCCCAGCCTCCCACACCAGAGGGACTGGCACCTCTGAGGCCACCTTCCAACCCAGCCTCTGAAATCAGTATAAATACAAGAAGGATGCTGAGTTACAGCCTCTCTTTCGTTCAGTGCCTCCATCTGGAAATGGGGGCCATGGTTCTTCTCTGTATTTGAGCACAGCAGCTGCAGGGTAAGTGTGAGAAGGTGAGAAATTCAGGGTGAGCAGCTGAGGCTTGTGTCCCTGTGGGAGTGCACAGTGCCATCATGGATGGGCACACCATGGGTTGGTCTGCACTCTTCCTCTCCACACTCCTAACAAAGTAAGTGTGAAGTCATCTGAGAGGTTTTGAAAGTAAATTCTTGTCTGCCCTCTTTTAGATGAAGTTGAAGGTGTAATTACCCCACCTAACTCCAGACCAACAAATCTACTTAATGAGCTTGCACCACCCCTGAGGTAGTGAAGAAAGAAACAGCACCAGACTCAGACAAGGTGGGGGTAGACAAGCAAATTCTGAACACTTTCTGCTACATTTTCAGGAAGATTTTACAGAACAAGTGGGCAATCCAAAGGCAACTTCCTTTCTCCTGCTCTCTGGTTTTCAGAGGTCAAATTTACTGCTCCTGGCTGTTGGTAACTTTGGCCCAAATATCTGGGGCAAAATTCTGTCTCTGCTGAAGTCAAGGGAGTTTTGCCATTAATTTCAACAGGCTATTGGTTCTTTTATTTTTATTCTGTGTTTCTGAATCAACATTGCCCTCAGGCTTGGGAATGCATTTAGATTTACACACAGTCATGAATGCACGCACAAATAAAAGTGACAGAGAAAGAAACCATTTCTTTTCAAGTCCCACAGCTTTTATTAATTTTTTTCAGTCTTTGTTCTGTACATTAATTTTATTTTCAACAAGATTTCTATTCTATACCAGTTACAAAATGGATATCTGGAGAAAACTCATGCCATTTAAAAACAGATTTGTTATTCCTGATGTTGTCAGGAATGCAGACATTGACTTTCCTGATTTCCTTGACAGTTTTGTCAGGTTTATTATTTTCATCATCAATAGAGTTTCACTGACAATGCCTAACAGCTGCTGGAATTACTTTAAGTTTTCCTTGTGAAAAATCAAAATATTATAACTGAAAATTGAATTATTGTAAACAGTGGGAATATGGAGGTCAGTCAGTTGTGCAGTATAAAACTGCATCCTGAAAAGGTGCAGAATGTCTCCTTAATGGATACATTGCTTTACAAATTTGCTCTCAACTTGTTGATCAGAATGGCAAAGAACTCTCATTTTAAAAGCTTAAAGTTGATAGAAAATTAATGTTCCGGTTATCCCTGGAGTGAAAGAATTTCTTTTCTCACCAGAGATATGAATACTGGGAAGAACAGCATGGAGTTTGGGCACACTGGGGTAGGATGCTGTGAGGAATGTCAGGGAAGGAGTTTCATTTGGGTGCTGAATGAACAAGCAGAGCTCAAGCTCACTCCTGGGGCTGTTTCCAGGCTTCTTCCATGACTTGGTTTCACTTCCATGAAACAGAGCTTGATCTTCCACCTTCCCTTTATTTTATTTTTTTTTCTGTGTTGATACTTTACAGGAAACAGAGACTCTCATGGGCTTGATTTTGCCTGGTCCACTTAGTCCTGCTATTAATTAAAGTGTTATTAATTATGGACAGTTCTGTTTACACCTGCCATTTCACAAAGTGCTAGTTGGCTCCTGGAGAACCCGTCATCAACACTGTCACTGCAAGGAAGATTGTTTCAATTTTTAAATCTAAACCCACTGGGAAAAGTCTTACCTCAAGAAATCTGCGAAATTTTCTGCACTTTCTCTTTAGCTTTCAATGAAGTAAAATCTCCATGCCTCCTGCATAGAGTGCAGTACCTGTGCACCCATAGTCTGTAAGAAGAATTAGCATTTTAGTGTGCAAAACAAAGAGGCAGCTGGCATGGCTGTGCTGTGTTTACACATCTCATTCTCCCAAACCTTTGTTAAATGGTCTAATGAAACAAGGTGCTCTGAGGGAAAAGCCCATTTAACAGAGTAACAAATCCCATTAGCTCAGTGGAGCTGGAAATCTACTGC